GTTGGTCGGTCTGCAGATGTGTTCGGGGTGTTCGGGCCGGCAGTCGTCTTACGTCTCGGGTGGAGGTGTGCTAGGCCCCCTTGGGTCAGTGACGGGGAGTCCTTAGTGGTTGATCAGGCCGCTAAGTTCGCTCTGAAACACGCGTGGAGTTTGCTAGGCTCCACAGTGTACTCAGAGTTCTCCACGAGGTGTGTGTGGAGCTCTCCAACTTGGGCGGAAACTGCTCAAGCTTTTTCTACGGCTAGCAAGCCAATCGCTAGCCGCCACGTAGGAATAATTTAGAACAGTCCAATAGTGGGGTACAAATTTGCATAAGATTGGCGGGAACTCCTTTGCACCATGCATTTCTGTGCTGCAAAGAAGAAATGCACGCTGCAAAGAAAGCTACAAATTGGCGGGAACTTTTTCTAGGTCATTAACATATAGTCACTGGGCTCTGGAGTTTTCCCCTCGTGATCTAATTACATGACCTACTTACAGAATGATTGACAGACTGCCTTCTGTAATCCTCCACTGTACTATAGGCATATGAACAATGGGTTCTGACAAGGAGCAGCCAGGCTGACCTACATACACCAGCTGGCCCATCAACATGGACTCCTGGCAGTTCCTGGGCTACCTATTTGCAGATGGTTTGTATGTATAAGAATGCCTCCTGAACATGAATCAAGGGCTACTCTAGACGCAGTTCAAAGGACAGCACCACTGGCATCTATTCTGATTTGGGTTCCAGCATGACCACTGGCAAATGCCATTGCAAAAGCAGTTTCTCAGCCATGTTCCCAGCAGAGGCCTGGCCTCAAAACCACTGACATCTTTTAATCTCCATGGACTCCAATGCACTTTGGATCAGGCCATTCTGAGCAACAGACTTTTCCCACTGTTCTTCATCTTATGTCAGGTTGAGGATCACAGTGCCAGGGGTCTACTTTGACAGCTGCAGACCTTGCCATAGGAAGAGAAGGAAAATGTTTTGATAGGTGCCCCAAACCCTTTGTCACTCACAGTCGCTTCTCCCCTTTGCAGAGCCCTGCCCCACTTGGCTACATCACTGCCTTTTTATTCTGGTCCAATGGGGAAGAAATTCCCCCAAGCCTGACAAGACTAGGTCTGAATTGACATGCCAGAGCAGATGGAACCACAGGAAACTTTTAGGATACATGAATATACTTTTTAAATCAGTAATGGCTGGAAAGTACTTTAGTAGCATACATTGCCCTGTCCCCACCCTATAGAAGAGAAATATTTATTAACACCTCACCTGTTCAGTATCATGAACCATATCATCTCTATCAAGTAATAAATCAATACCATTGACCTCATTCCACTCACCTGCTCCTGTACATATGTCAAGAGGCTTGGAAGCCAAGGTTTGTGTATCATTCTGCTTGCTGGAAAAATGGATCTTTGTGCTTTGATAAAGCCCCCCCCACAATCTGTATTATACATAAATTTAATAATCTCTCAAAGCCATTGTTCCTTCCCCATCCTATAACATCAGCAACACTGAGACACAAAAGCTGCCAGGAAGGATGGTGTCATAGTGCAAACTGGAAAGTGCCAAATGATTTCATAGGATATGATCCTGTGGAGGTCAGATCCAGGTTCCTAGGGAGTTTGTAATGCACTCTGATGCACGTAGGGGCAGAACTGATGGGGAAGGTATGGAATGGGGACACTTTTAAAAGGAAATCCACCTACATAATCAAGTCCTAGTCACAGAAGTCATGATTACCCATAAACTGAATCAACGTTAGAGGTCCAGAATGACAGATTCTGAGCTGCACTGGACAACCAGAACCGAACCGAAAAATGCCCAGGAGCCTAGCGGCTTCCAGAGGAATGGGGGAGTTCACAAGAGCCATTGCTCCAGGTTCTCCATAAATTCAGACTCAGTCATTGCTGCCTGGGTTGCACACTTGTGGAGGGGATCGCAAGACAGCTGATGCATTACTTGTCCGCAAAGCAGACATTCTGAGAGACAAGCAAGCAGCTGGAAAGAGGTGCTGACAATTCATGTATCGCCAAGCACCAGTCCAATCTGAGCTCTGGGTGAATGGGTCACACATGACTTCAGTACAATACCCCATGATACAAGTGGCTTTGCTCATACCAAATAACACAAGTGCTTTGGTCAGCAACATGCCATGCAAGGAAACTGTCTAGGCCAGAGGTGGGCAAGATATAGCCCACAATTGTATCCAGCCCACAGGCAGGCAGCCACAAAACAATGGGATCCAGCCCATGGGGAGCCAACGGGTTCCGGCTGCTGGGTTGTGACAGACATGTCCCAAGCACCAGCTTGTGAACATGGCCAGTAGGTTCTGGGCGGGGATCAGAGCTTCGACCCAGGTCTGCAGTTGACACTGCTACATCAGCGCATCAGCCATGGTCCTGAGCAGTCACCCTAATCCCCACTTGCCAGCAGCATCCACAGCTGGGAGTGTCCACAGCTGATGCCAGTGCCCACCTGGCACATGGGCTGGTGTAAGAAGCAGATGGGGCCAGAAGGTTGTGGATTGGGGTATGCTATACTGTGGGGAGAGTTGGGGCGGGGAGTGAGAAGAGAGGAAGAGAGATGTGGTCTACAAGACGACAAACTCATAAAGTGGCCCTCCAGCCAAAATAATTGTCCACCCCTAGTCCAGGCTATACTAGCAGATCCTCCCTTCTGTTAACAATATATTCTTCCATAAGTTTACAGCGCGTACACACACACACACACACACAAAGTGACTTCCCACTCCAGCATTGAGGAATTACAATTTTTAATTCTTAGAGCAGTCACCATTAAACAAGGAAAAACATGGGAAAAATCTCTGCTGTTGTGGATTAAGACTACTGTTTTATTTGGCAGGGAAAAGAAGCATGAAAATAGATGTTCCAAAAAATGTAATATCAGGGGAAAATTACATTCAGATTATATTGTGCTTCAGAAGGAAAGCTATATATTTTTACTTGCATAGTACAAGCATACTTATAAGTATTTGAGTTAATAGCAATGTATGCAAGTCCATCACAAGAGGGAATTCATATTATTGCTCTTTTACTGAAGAAGGAAAAAAAGAAACAACAGCCCAAACCAACAAGCAGTTGCTGATGTCTCCTGGAACAAACTGATGCTTATTGGCAGTTATTTTTCAGTAAGCTAATTTGGTTTAGCCACGGAACAGATAACACTACGAAGTTGCAAGTGACGTGCTGAGTAGAGAAAAAGAAAATAAAAGCAGTCAGTTTAAAATAGTCAGAATCACTGAATGTTTCAAAATCTACACATGCATTGTCTATCACTTTTTGTTTATCACCAGCATATATTACAGAAGTGAAAAATATGGCTCTTCAGAGCATTTCCAGTTTGCAAGAAAAATATTGTGGGATAACATTTGTCTTTTGTTAATATAGACTTCTACAGGACTTAGCTGCCAACTATTCCCATCATATTCAAAGACAGGCATTGCACCCCTAGCTATTCCCTGGTTAGAAGGGAGGGAGGGACATGAGTTTAAGAAAATGAGAGGGAGAAGGTACTGGAGCGGTCAGGGGGAAAGAGAGGGTCAAAATAGGCAGCAGAGGGGCAAGCACAGGGTAGGAGGGGCCAGGAAAATCAGGTCGCCTGCCTCCCAACCTGTGCTTTCCCCACCACTACAGTGGGAGGGACAAATTTAAAAGACAATCCCCTAATAAGCAGATTCTATATATGGAAAATTATAACATTTTTTTTTTAATTTTCCGTGTATAGACTATGATTATTGGGAGGTCATCTTCAATTTGCAGACATCTTGGATTCAGGCAAATAGTCATCATTTGCATATAGTGTTACAGCTACTTTGAGCATTCACAAATACAGGTGTGCGCCCAGGCCCATCTGATATTCCAGCCCCTTCAGCATAAAGCAAGCTATTAATGCTGAGGATGCTGTCCTGTTAAAAGGAAGCTGGATTCTGATTCAACCAGGGATGTGTGTGCTTGGTGGTGGAGTTCCAAAAGCTAGCCAAACCATTAAGGAATCAATCTAGAATCAAAGCTCCCCACTGAATTTGATCATGCCTGTGCTAGGAACTGGGGCTTCTGTGAAAACACCTGCTCCCCATTGTCAGTTATCCACTCCTTCCTTACAAAGTGGCCAATGGCAATGGTTTATTTATCAGTTTCTACATCAAGTTTATTAAAAAGTGCCATTGAACAAACTGAACTGACCAGAAAAGGACTTTGGGGTCTGGGTACAGAATGGAGACCCAGAGCATCTGATGTTAAGATCTTGGCTCTGCCATAGACCCCCTGTATGCCCTCAGGCAAGTCACTTAGCATGAAGTCCTGATCTCCAAAGACCTATTTAAGCACCCAATTCCCACTGAAATCAGTGGGTGTGGGCTGTCTGTTCCTCAGTTCTCCATCATACAATGACAAAGAAGAGCACTTCCTTCTTCCCCCACCCTTGATGTGTCCTGCCCAATAGAGACAGGCCCATTAGAATAGGGCCTTTTATTCCCATGTGTGGCATACAGATGATAATAACACCACCACCACAATACCACAAGTTTTCAACATTCAAATAAATAAATAAATAAATAAACAAACAAACAAACATCAGACAGACCACTTTGGATTCTAACAAGAGGCAACAAAGCCTCAAGAGCCAAGTAAAAAAATAAACCCATGCAGAATCCCATCAAAAAAAAATCTGCATGTTTTCTGTACTTTGTATTTTTACTTGTTAATTCTAACAGCTGGTTGGAGCAAAAACTCACACACACAACTATGATTTAATATTTGGATGCTAATAAGCAACTAATTTTAAAAAGCAAAGTGCTTATAAGCAGCAGAAAAACGCAGAAGTGTACACAGAGTACAATGCTTTCAGGGGGTTTATTCCAACATGGGGCTAATTCTATTATACAGGATGCGAACAATACCCCAGACAGTATTTTTAGTGTACAGTTTCGTAAAGACCTGGGCAGCTCCCAACCATTTTTATAAACATACCTTTGCCATTGCTGGTTCTTTATGGAATGCACAGCTCTGAAGATCAGTTGCTGACTTTGTACAGGTGGTCCGGCCAAGCTCAACATCCAGGATATACTTGATTCCAGACACAATCTGTAAAATGAGAGGGGAAAAGGCTTGTTCTCAGCAGTGGAAGATAGTACAGAAAGCATTACAGGAGGCTTATCTGCTGTGAGACAGCTTGAGACCTTGTGATGACAATGAGGTCAAAGTGATTGTCCATATCTGGCATAGCACATCTTTCTGAACCAGTCAGTTAGTTAAGAAAGAAATAAAGCAAACTACTTATATAGGGCAGCCATCAATTCAGCAACTGAAATTATCACTATTCAAAAACCATGAGTTGGGCCTCCCAAAACCATGAATTTCAGAAAAGAAAGAGATTGAATTTAGTGGCATTTTGTTTGCTTGCTGAGGTCATCTTCGCAAACTTCTTTGCATGACTATAAACGGCTGGAAGCTACAGAAATTTTTATTTTTAATCTGAAAGCTGAGTTTTATAGAGTCACTACTCCAGGTTCCGAGGCTGTAAAACTTGATATTGCAGGGTTTCTGACCCTCTACCTCCCCACGAAAAGTCATATATCAATGCTAGGGAGGGGACTGCAATGAAATAAATGTTCAGTGCTTGATAAATTGGGGTCACAAGCACTACCAGATGTGAGGAGAAAACTGCTTCGGCGAGCCACGTGAAAGGGCAACTGTGAATAGTTAAAAATAGCCAATAAAAGTTAAGGAAAAGCTATGGGTAAAGGGCAGTTGAGGAGAGATTACTTTGAGTGCTAGTGAAGGGGACCTGAAAGCAGAAGAGCATCTCAGAAGCTGTACATTGATGGAGAGGGAGCATCATGATGAAGTGTCTCCCTAAGCCAGACAGCCTACTGGTTTAGCATGGTTGAAATGAAATGCAGCGGCAAGTGATGTGGCAGCATCATATTCAGCCACTGTCCAGCCCAAGTGAGTGCAAGGGTGACTAGGTACTCACTTGCAGCTGGGTGCAAGCTCCCACCTCTGGAGCCATATCAAGGCACCTTAACTGCTCTGCCACAGCACCCCTGTATGCTAGGACAGCACCAGACTTAAGCCACGTGCCTGCCATGTCTCCAGTCACTTTACGAGTATGTTGCATGCTTTCCACCCTGCCTTCTCCGACTGGCAGTACTGCCTCTCTATACAGTCTAGCACAGTACAGCCTCTCCCCCAACCCCCATCTTTGGGCACTGCCTGTTCCAGATTATGTAACAACCAAGCTCCTCCACAGGCCTGGCCAACTTGAGTTTCAAAGTCCTGCATCCTCAAACCACAGCTCCTTCCTTCCATTTAAAGCAGCGATTCTCAGCCAGGGTGCCAGGTTTGATCAGCTAGATGCCTTTAGATTTTGAGACAAATGTGTGCAGGGAGGAAAAAAAATGGGTTAGAGGAAAAGCAATCGATGAGATGAGGATTAATAAAAATGCACAAGGCAGAACACCCTCGTGAAAAGCAGCTTGAGCACCAACTGAAGCGAGCGTAATACACAGGCCAAGTATGCTGCAAACTCTTCGGTAAGGAGATGTGGGTGGCAAGCAGGGGAGGGAGAAGGGAGGAAAGGGGAAAAACCAGGAGTACTCTGGGCTGGTAAAGCCCCCCCACACACACACTTCTTGGCTCAGCTGGCGTTTTGGAGACCTGGGTCCCTCCATTTCGCAGCTGCAAATTCCGGAGGCCATTTTTAACAAGGTGCAGCAAGCATTAAACACGAGAGAGAGGGCCGAAACTGTCCAGGTGACAGCACAGAGCCCATACACCTAAATGTGAATGGAAGGGGGGGGCAGAAATTTGCCCAGTGGGCTTGCTCTTAAGGGTGACAAGGGTGGGGTGAAGTTTTGTAGCCTTGGGGTATCCACTGCTGCTGTTGACCATATCCTATAAGCTGCTCTGAGCCTTTTGAGATAGACTGGGACATAAATCTAAAAGAACAACAGTGATAATGTTATTGTTGATAGTATTCCTTAGTAGCATTACATTTATCACTATTACTTATTACTACGGCTCTACTTATTACAATGATTATCACTACTATTCCTACCACTATTACTGTTATCATTACTACTATTTTTATTACAATCATCATCACCAGGGATCCAGGTTTTCTCTGATCAAAAAATATCCCCAATTTTGGGGTTAAACCAAGTAACCCAAAATCCACATTTTTCCGTGATTAAAATGAAACATCACTAATACATAGCTCTCTCTCTCGTGTATATATACATATACACAGAGATATATACACACACATGTATATCTAGAGTGAGAAAGATCTATTCTCTCTCTATCTATCTATAGTACCTAGATATATAGTGGTGTTTGATTTTGATCATGGGAAAATGTGGATTTGGGGTTACTTTTTTTTTTTTTTAACCAAAACATTGCAGATTTTTTTAAATCAGAGAAAACTGGGATCCCTGATTATCATTACCATTCCTTCTACTATTATAAATTATTGATAACTAATCCTACTGCTAATCATTTATTTATTAGTAATAGTATTAATTATTTAGTATCTATTATTCCTGCTAGGGTTGGAATGACTTGCACTGCTCTCACCACCGCCGCTGTTACGTCACAATCGCTTCCCATTGCAACTAGACTGTCAACAGGCGACGCCCCGGGCCCAGCGGAAGGCGGCGGGGCCGGGGGCCGCGACCCCGCAGTGGGGCGAGCAGCAATGCAGGGCCCCGAGCCCCAGCCCGAGGCAGGCGCAGGCCCGTCTTCCCTAGGGTTGGAATGACTTGCACTGCTCTCACCACCGCCGCTGTTACGTCACAATCGCTTCCCATTGCAACTAGACTGTCAACAGGCGACGCCCCGGGCCCAGCGGAAGGCGGCGGGGCCGGGGGCCGCGACCCCGCAGTGGGGCGAGCAGCAATGCAGGGCCCCGAGCCCCAGCCCGAGGCAGGCGCAGGCCCGTCTTCCCTCCCCCGGCGCGGAGCGGT